GCTTCCCACACCTGAGAGGACTTGAGCTGCTTCTGCTGGTCGATCTTGATCAGCTGCACCTTGGCCCTCTTCAGCAGGTGGAACATCCTCTTGTTGGCGCCGGTGAGCCGGATCTTGTGGGAGGTGCCGCTCTCCTCCACCACCACCCGGTCGCCCTCCGTGCTCGGGTCCTGCTGGGACTCTCCCGGCGCCGCACCCGACAGGCTGGGCGCCCAAAGCTCTCCTTCGCCCAGACGTGGGTTAAAAAACGAGGGAAAAAAGGACACAAAACCAGCAACACTCAGAAATAATCACCTCCACTGCTGCCTTTTTTCTCTGAAACGCAAGATGGTCCCTCCCACAGGTAGGTCTGATTCTGAGCATTTGTTTATCTGCTTTTCCCCGGTATGTGCTTGGTATCCCAAATTCCGATGGCACAGGAAGCTATCTTGTCAGTAAGCTCTGAAATGCACAGACATGACGTAGGCAAGCAAAGACACGGATTCTGGACGAGCACAGTGCATCGCGCGGCTCAAGCAAAAGACAAAACCTACCTTCTCCTTGCGCTGAGAGCTCGGAGGAGTCTGCAGGATCCACGCCGGCCTGGTCCTTCTCCTCCTGCTCCTCCTCCTCCTCCTCGTCGTCGTCTCCCGGCGCCAGGGCGTCGCAGCCCAGCGGGCGCACACGCACGCGCACGGCGACCTTGCGCACCACGCCGGGCGAGTCCAGGTCCTCGATCTTACCGTGCAGCCTGCGACCTCCGAACCCGCCCCCTCGATAACACGCCGGACCGCTCGTCAACGATCCAGTTCAGCTCGGCCCCTGCTGGCAGCCAGGGGGACGGGGCGGAGCGGATCCGGTCTGCTTCAAGCTGCCCCGCCCCGACCCGGGAGGCAGCCTGCAGGAAGCCTGCGCCTCGACGGGAGCCCATCGCTCTCCTTCCCCCGCGCGGCTCGGGCGGCGGCACTTACACGCAGCACTGGCGCTTGGTGTTGGGGCCCCCGAACTTGGGCTTGTCCAGGCAGTTCATGCACTTGGCGCAGTCCTCCA